CAGCCTTCCTGCTCCTCTGATGCTGCTTGGCCTGCTGTGTTCATCCAGCTCTACACCTTGTTATCTCTAATGTTGTAGGAACCCAGGTTCAAATCCTACCACAGCAGGAGGTAGAATTTGAATTCAATAAAAATCTGGAATTAACAGTCTAATGATGACCATGCAAACATTGTCGATTGTTGGAAAAACCTATCCCACAGTGCCTTACGGAAGGGAGTGACAGGATTTTGACTCAGCAACAGTGTAGGACCAGCGATATATTTCCAAGTCAGGATGGTGAATGGCAGATGGTGGGGTTCCCATGTATCTGATGCCCTTGTCCTTCTAGATGGAAGTGGTCGTGGATTGGGAAGGTGCTGCCTGAGGATGTCCTTTAGGGAAGGAAACTGCTATCCTTGTATGTGACTCCAGACCCACAGTGATGTGGCTGACTCTCAATTGTGCTCTGGGCAATAAATGCTGCTTAGCCAGTGACATCCTCATCCCGTGAATGAATAAAGGAAAAATTAAACTCCTGACGTGGGCTCTCAAAGACTTCGTGAAGGCCCCTAGGCTTAAGACAGATGATCCATCACCTCCAGGCAGGGGAAGCAGAAGAATGTGTGGAATGGCCCAGTGGTAGGAAGCCTGTCCGCTGATCAAGAGCTAATGGGTTGCCCTCTTGAGGTACTGAGAAGTCGTGCAGGTAAATCCACAGTGCTGTTCAAGAGCATGTTTCACAATTTTGCCCCAGCAACAGTGAAGTAAAGACAACACAGCTTCAAGTTGAAGGCTGAATGGCTGTACTTTGGCTCCTAATGTGTACATTTTGTCATTTGCATAGCTTTCCCAATGTTGCACACAATGATACACCAAATGGCCTTCATTGTGTTGTATGATTCCATGGTGTCTCACTGAATTTATTTCCACCAGTATTTTGTTGTTTTTCCCTTGTTGTATCCAGGGTTACAAATCCTAAAAATAGCATCAGTCTCACTGCCTAGAAAATATTTTATTCATTACTTTCAATCCTGTATTGGCGAATGATTCAAATGTTGTTCAGTTATTTTATCCTTGCAAACGTGATACTTATTTAGTAGTGCTAAGACTGACAAGTTCAGTTTGTGTTCTGTATTTTGTTTTAATCTAATACTGTGACATATAGGAGGGGAGGAGCCATAGTAGTCCTAGTCTCAGTGAAAAGCTGAACAGTCATGAATTCCTGATTTAGAAAGGAAGAAAAGTCAATTTTAATGGAAGAGTTTTATTTCAGGATTCCAACAAGCCCACATTATTAGCCCATTCTAAACCAGTTGGCCAGAGAAGGTGCTGGGTCTTTGCTTGAACAGCAGAATGGCTTTTGATTCACTTCAGAGAAGATTTGCCACTCTTCCTGGGTGTCTTATCATATGAGCTTCCTTCTACAAGGCACAAGTCAGGAGTGTGATGGAATAATCCCCACTTGCCAGGATGGGTGCAGCTCCCAACAACGCTCAAGAAGTTTGACACCATCCAGGACAAAGCAGCCGCTTGATTGGCACCACATCCACAAGCATTCACTCCCTCCACCACCGACGCTCAGTAGCAGCAGTGTGTACCGTCTACAAAATGCACTGCAGAAATTCACCAAAGATCCTCAGGCAGCACCTTCCAAATCCACGACCACTTCCATCTAGAAGGACAAGGGTATCAGATACATGGGAATCCCACCATCTGCCATTCACCATCCTGACTTGGAAATATATCGCCGGTCCTACACTGTTGCTGAGTCAAAATCCTGTCACTCCCTCCCGTAAGGCACTGTGGGTCTACCTACAACACATGGACTGCGGTGGTTCAAGAAAGCAGCTCACCATGACCTTCTCAAGGGGCAACTAAAGCAATGAAGACTGGCCCAGTCAGTGACACCCATGTCCTATGAGGGAATTAAATAAAAATAAATAAAATAGAGTGACTTGATAGAGGTGTACAAAATGATCAGAGCTATAGATAGAGTGGACAGCCAGAGACTTTTTCCTAGGGTGGAGGTAGCTGCTATGAGGGGGCATAGTTTTAAAGTGAGTGGAGGTAGATAAAGGGGAGACGTCAGAGGTAGGTTCTTTACTCAGAGAGTGATGGGGGTGTGGAATGCATTGCCGGAGAGGGTAGTAGAGTCGGCCTCATTAGGGGCATTTAAGCAGCTATTAGATAGGCATATGGATGATAGTATAAGGAGGGGTGGAGGTTAGATAGACCTTAGATTTAGGGTAAAAGGTCGGCACAACATCTTGGGCCGAAGGGTCTGTACTGTGCTGTACAGTTCTATGTTCTATGTTCTAAACTGCCCTACCACCTCTCTCCCCAGCCTCTATTTCATCACTTCTGTCTTTTTACAACAGAAGTGATCAAAACACGCAATGTTTCAATGCCCTCATGATCTTTCCTCCAGCGGGGTGCTGAAGATTAATTTTTAATTTCTGAAAACTCCAGAATAAGCATACCTACTTCAGAAAGCATTACAATTCAGCCAGCATGGGCTAGTTTCACAGGCAGGCAGGGTTGTGTAGGCAGAGCACATTCCCTTATCTATCAGTGGAGTTCTTGCAATAATCTAACAGTTTTTCATGCCTGTTTTATCCTGGTGCCAATGACGATTTCATTTAAATCAAATTCCATATCCATCTATAGTGGGCACTCAGCTTATATCCACTAGATTACACACCCAGTGCCATAGCTACTGAGGTATAGCTCAGCCCACTCTCCAGAACTGTTTCTGAATTAAAAATTAATCTGCTGGTCACACAACTGCAATCAACCTAGGAGAAACACTATAAAAGCATTCTAAACTCTATTTGAGTGCTTTCTTAACTGTGTTTACAATAACAAGGTTAGAGGGGGTGGGGAAGCCTTTTCTGATCAGGTGGCATGGTTTGAAGTGGGTAGTGGTGCCTCCAGGGATAAGTCCACTTGGAGTTGGCAATGGTACAGCTGTACTGCAGTCTCAGACACTGTGGCTACAGAGAAAACTAACTTCAGAGACTTTCCTGGACCTCCCTCCAAACACAAGGTAGCTCAGACAGTGAAGACAGCAATGGGTTACCGCATCCTTAGAGGTGGAGAAATCAAGGCAGAAATTGGAGCAAATCCATTGAAATTTAAACATAATTGTAAAACCCTCCTTAGTTGAGCCTGAGCTCAGTGATTGACCGTTATCTAGCCATTTACAGTCACAAAGTCAGAGATGTACAGCGCTGAAATGGACCCTTTAGTCCAAGTCGTCCATACCCTAGATACCCTAAATTAATCTGGTCCCATTTGCCAACATTTGGACCATATCCCTCTTAAACCCTTCCTATTCATGTACCCATGCAGATACCTTTTAAATGTTGTATTTGTACCCACTTCCACCATTTCCTGTGTCAGTTCATTCCATACACGCACCACCCTCTGAGTGAAAAAGTTGCCCTTCAGGTCCCTTTTAAATCTTGCCCCTCTCACCTTAAACCTATGCCCCCTAGTTTTGAACTTCCCTGTCCTGGGGTGGTCTTTACCCTATCCATGCCTCTCATGATTTTATTATCCTCCATAAAGGCACCCTCAGCCCCTGACACTCCAGGAAGAATAACTCCAGCCTATTCAGCCTCTCCCTATAGCTCAAACTATTTGGAGGTGAGTGTCTCAACTTAGTGGTCCCAATGGTGTTTTATGGACAGTTGGGAAAGTTGGGACAAAGCACAGAATTCAGTTTGTTTGACTGTCATCTGGAAAAATGTCCTGTCTGTTGGGGCTGCCAATTGAATGCATTGATCTCACATCAAAACTTCATGACGTGCATAAAATGTGAAACCATCATGCTCTCTGAATCCACGTACCAATGCTTCCCAAACCATTCCACTCTGGCCCCATTTCAAGGTTTGAAACATGTCATGGCCTCTCAGTGAGAAATGAAAGAGTTGGTTGTAGGGGCCGGGGGTAGAGATGAGACTGTGTGTGTGTGTGTGTGTGTGTGTGAGAGATGTGAGGGTAGGGGCCTGTCAGAGACGGAGCTGTGGCACTGATGCACCTTCATCCCCAAATATGTTAGAAGCTAAATATTTATTGATAATGCTCACACCTCTGGTAGGTGTTGATAACGTCTCGTAGAGTGGAGAGGAAGTTGGAAAGGACTTTTCAAGAGTTTTCCAGGTTTTTTTTTGCCTGTCTGAGCGCATTTACAGGTGGGATGAGGTTGAAGGTGGGACATTGGTGGGAAGTGTGTTCTTCAAGGCTGCGAATTTACATAAGAACATAAGAACTAGGAGCAGGAGTAGGCCTTCTGGCCCCTCGAGCCTGCCCCACCATTTAATAAGATTGTGGCTGATCTTTTTGAGACTCAGCTCCACTTACCCGCCCACTCACCATAACCCTTAATTCCTTTACTGTTCAAAAATTTATCTAGCCTTGTCTTAAAAACATTCAGTGAGGTAGCTTCAACCTCTTCACTGGGCAGGGAATTCCACAGATTCACAACCCTTTGGGTGAAGAAGTTCCTCCTGACCTCAGTCCTACATCTGCTTCCCTTTATTTTGAGGCAATGCCCTCTAGTCCTAGTTTCACCTGCTAGCGGAAACAACCTCCCTGCCTCCGCGTTATCTATTCCCTTCATAATCTTATATGTTTCTATAAGATCTCCCCTCATTCTTCTGAATTCCAATGAGTATAATCCCAGTCTACTCAGTCTCTCCTCATAATCCAAACCTCTCAACTCTGGAATCAACCGAGTGAATCTCCTCTGCACCCCCTCCAGTGCTGTATATCTCTTCTCAAGTAAGGAGACCAAAACTACACACAGTACTCCAGGTGTGACCTCACCAGGACCCTATACAGCTGCAGCATAGCCTCCCTGTTTTTAAACTCGATCCCTCTAGCAATGGTAGACAAAATTCCATTTGCCTTTTTAATTACCTGCTGCACCTGCAATCCTACTTTTAGCGATTCATGCACAAGGACACCCAAGTCCCTCTGCACAGCAGTGTCCTGCAATTTTTTACCATTTAAAACATAGTCCATTTTGCTGTTATTCCTACCAAAATGGATGACCTCACACTTATCAACATTGTACTCCATCTGCCAGACCTTTGCCCACTCACTTAGACTATCTATATCCCTCTGCAGACTTTCAGTGTCTTCTGCACACTTTGCTCTACCACTCATCTTAGTGTCATCTGCAAATTTTGACACACCACACTTAGTCCCCAACTCCAAATCATCTATGTAAATTGTAAACAATTGCGGTCCCAACACTGATCCCTGAGGCACATCACTAGCCACTGACCGCCAACCAGAAAAACACTCATTTACCCCTACTCTTTGCTTTCTATTGGTCAACCAATCCTCTATCCATGCCAATACATTACCTGTAATACCGTGCAACTTTATCTTGTGTAGCAGCCTTTGGTGTGGCACCTTGTCAAATGCCTTCTGGAAATCCAGATACACCACATCCACAGGTATGCAAGTAATGTCCTCAAAGAATTCCACCGAATTAGTTAAACATGACCTACCCTTCATGAACCCATGCTGGGTATTCCCAATGGGACAATTTATATCCAGATGTCTTGCTTTTTCTTCCTTAATGATAGATTCAAGCATTTTCCCCACTACCGAAGTTAAGCTAACTGGCCAATAGTTACCTGCTTTTTGTCTACTTCCTGTTTTAAACAGTGGCGTCACATTGGCTGTTTTCCAATCTGCGGGAACCACCCCAGAGTCCAGTGAATTTTGGTAAATAATTACTAGTGCATTTGCTATTTCCCCCCATCACCTCTTTTAGTACCCTGGGATACATTTCATCAGGGCCAGGAGACTTGTCTACCTTTAGCCCCATTAGCTTGTCCAGCACTGCCTCCTTAGTGATAATGATAGTTTCTAGGTCCTCACCTGCCATAACCTTCTTGCCATTAGTTTTCGGCATGTTATTTGTGTCTTCCACAGTGAAGACCGACACGAAATAACTGTTTAAGGTCTCGGCTATTTCCTCATTCCCAATTATTAAATTGGCCTTCTCATCCTCTAAAGGACCAATGTTTACCTTCGCCATTCTTTTACAATTTACAAATTTATAGAAACTTTTGCTGCCTGTTTTTATATTCTGAGCCAGTTTACTCTCATAATCTATCTTACTTTTCTTTATAACTTTTTTTGTGGCTTTCTGTTGGCCTTTAAAGATTTCCCAGTCTACTAGTTTCCCACTCCTCTTTGCTTTTTTGTATGTGTTTTTTTTTTCAATCTGATACTTTCCTTTATTTCCTTAGACATCCATGGCTGGCTGTCTCTTTTCCTACAGTTCTTCCTTAACACTGGAATATACTTCTGCTGAGCACTGTGAAAAATCGTTTTGAAAGTCCTCCACTGTTCCTCAATTGACGCATCATAAAGTTTTTGCTCCCATTCTACCTTAGCTAACTCCTCCCTCATTCCTTCATAGTCCCCTTTGTTTAAGCACAGGACATAGGTACTGAATTTAAGCTTCTCACGCTCCAAGTAATTGGCAGTAAGTAATTCACTCCCGGCTCCCCAAAGCCTTGTCCGGCATCTAAAAGACTCAAGTCAGGAGTGAGCTCTAATACTCCTCAGCTTCCTTGATGATTACAGCTCCAACAACGCTCATGAAGTTTGACGCCATCCAGGACAGAGCAGCCCACTTAATTGGCACCTCACCTAACCCTTCAAACACTCACTCCCTTCTCAACTGGCACACAGTGGCACCAGTGTGTACCATCTACCCCAGCAACGTACTGATGGTCCTTTGAAAGCACCTGCCATGCCTGTGACTTCTACCATCTGGAATGACAAGGGCACATGGGACACCACAACCTGCCAGTTCCCATCCAAGTCTCACACACCATCCTGACTTGGAACGATACAACATTCTTCAGTGTTGCTGGGACAAAATCATTTAACTCTCCCCTTAATAGCACATAGACTGTGGGGGTTCAAGGTGTCAGCACATCACCACCTTCTCAAGGGCAATTAGTGATGGGTAATAAATCTTAGCCAAGTCAGCAAAGCCCACATCCCAAGAATTAATAAAAACTGCTTGAGCCATCACGGTGTGTGAGGGTTGGATTGATGCAATCTTCTTCTGTCCATGGATTTTGTGTTCATTGATAAAAGGTAGGTCCTTCGTATGTGGCAGCATTTTGTGTGAAACTGCTCCTGATTGAATCTTATTGATGGTTGACAATTTGAACATATTAGAGCTGTATATTTCTGGAATTCCTCATGGACCAGCAAGTGCTGTTACTTGCACCAAGTGGTAGTCTCCAGCTGAACATCATGAGCGGGGGGTTGCTAATTGATGGATTTGGTGCCTGAGGTGGGATCTATTGCTTGCCTGGCTTGGACTGTGTTATGTAATTTGCCAACTTTTAACCTTCACCAGTCTGTTGGGGCACTGAATTCAGCAGTAAGAGGATGATTCCCTCTGAAAGCAGTCAAAACCCAACAAGTGCTGACACTTCATTTCAGGCAATTCAGTCAGAGAGTAAGGCACTTACTGATCTGCTTTAATTACCTGCAATAGGTATTCCATGAACACAGCATCATCTTTGGATATCGCCACCCAAGGAGCACAGCAACTGATTGTCTGTTCAGCCTTTTCCAATTGACAAATGAGACTGTGAATATCTGGACCCACTTCCTACCAACCTGGTAAGTGCTCACTGAATATGACACTTGAGCAACACAGAGTGGGCATGTATTTATATCCCACTTTACACCATGCTGGTGAAGCCAGTAGTACTTTGTAGGCAAATGTGGTAATCCATTTAGACATAGTAAGGTCCTTTTAATGGCATTGTGACCAGTTACCCTGCTTCACTGGTGTTGGTTTAAAGGGTGAATGTTGGCATACGCACCAGGAAAACTTTGTTTTTAAATAACAATTCCTCAATTTCTTCTTAAAGACCTCAGTGCCGCGCTCCCTCAGTGCCGTGCTCCCTCAGTACTGCAAGACATGGTAACATCCACACTTCCACTGGAAGGTGCAAATTAACATTTTCACCAAACACAAGTGTTTGATAGTAACTACATCCAACAGGAGAGAATCTAACCCTCACTTGTTGGCCTTCAATAGAATTAACACCACTGCATTCTCCATTATCAATATTTCTATTGATCAGAAATTGAACTGGACCTGTCGTATAATTACAGTAGCTACAAGAATGGTCAGAGACTAGGAATACTTCGGCGAGTAATTCACCTCCTGACTCCTCAAAGCCTGTTCACCATCTACAAGGTACAAGTCAGGAGTGTGATGGAATACTCCCCACTTGCCTGGATCAGTGCAACTCCAATCTGTCAGTGCACCATCCAGGACAAAACAACCCTCCTTATTCAGCACCTCATCACTCACACCTCATCAACATTCACTTCCACCACCACCGACACACATTGGCAGCAGTGTAACTATCTACAAGATAACTGCAGCGATTCACCAAGGCTCCTTAAACAGACCTTTCTAAACTCCACGATCGCTTCCATCTAGAAGGACTAGGGCAGCAGATACATGGGAACATCACCACTCCCAGCAAGTTTCCCTCCGAGCCGGAAATATATCAACATTCCTTTGGTGTCATTGGGTCAAAATTCTGCAACTCCCTTTCTAGCAGCATGCTACATCAAATGGACTGCAGAGGTTCAAAAAGGCAGCTCACCACCACCTTCTCAATGGGCAATTGCAGATGGGTAATAAATGCTGGTCCAGCTAGCCATGCCCACATCCCATGGCAAAAAAAGGGAAATCTCCCACTCTCAAGGACATCCTTCTCTAAAGAATTGTGTATTTGTCACAGGGTTAATGCTTGTGAGATTATCAGTCCATTTATTTTATAAATAGAGTACAACCAGGAGCAAACACAAAGATTTAGTCTCACCAGAGGTTACAATTATTTACATTAAGATAGATTACCTACCTAAAGATTAATTTGTTAAATGGTAGCTGGTAATGAATTGCTTTCAGAAGTAGCATACTGCAGATGCCGGAAATCTGAAACAAAAATTAGAAGGTGATGGGGAAACTCAGCATGTCTGGCATCATCTGTGCTGAGAAAAACGTCAATGAATGCTTTGTGAGAAAGGCTCGTGACCTTTTTCAGAATAATGAGGTGTTCTCTTTTGAGACCCTGATGGAATATTTGTTCCTTTTTACTTTGTTCCATCTTACTTTGCATTTTTTAATTAATCTTAAGGGGAGATGGGACAGGGAATGTGAACAGATGTTCAAGTTGCAAACTGGAACAATTTGTTTCAATATTTGGCAGCCAGTATCAGATTATTTATAGTATTACAATGTTCTGTTTATAATGCCTCAGCAAAGTTGTGGGAGTGGTCATATAGCGAACATCGTAACTTATTCTTTCACAGCACGTTCACAAAAGACTTGCATTCACATAGTACCTTACCCAACCACAAGACAACTTCCAAAGAAGGGTCAGACCGGACTTGAAACATTATTTCTCTCTCTGCAGATGCTTTCAACTGGCTGCATTTCTCCAGCACTTTCTGCTTTTTAATTATTGTTTCAGATCTCCAGCATCTGCAGTATCTTGCTTTTGCTCAAATGCATAAGGCTAATTACATATTTTTGAAATAACACCTAATCATTAAAATGAAATAAAATTTACTGTTGCAATGTAGGAATCACAGCTGGAAAATTTCCCACAGCCAGCTAGTACTTTTGAGGGGTAAAGATTTGCCTGGACACCAGGGAGAGCTTATTCTCTTCCTTGAAGCAGTGCAGTGGGATTTTTTATGCCCAAATGAGGGGGCAGATGGAACTTTGATTTAACATTTTCCCCAACAGTCAGCATCACTGACATTGCAGCACTCCCTCAGTACTGCACTGTAGTGTCAGCCTGGGGTATATGCTCAAGTCTTTCGAGTGGGATTTGGAGTTGGGGATGGGAAATAAGTGCCTGCTTTGCCAGAAACTGCCACAGCTATACAGCATGGAAAGAGGCCCTTTGGTCCATCATGTTTGTGCTAGTCATCAAGCATCCATCTATTTTAATCCCATTTTTCCCAGCACTTGGCCCTGTGCTACTCAAGTCACACTTCTTCTGTTTCTCGGGGTGAGTGGTAACCCTTGGACCTCACTGTAACAAACCTCACTGTAACCGAGAACTACTGGGAATGTCTTTTCATTTCTCAAACCATCCAGCCTTTGAGCGATATTGCTAATGAGAGGATTTTCGACCAGTGCTGACCCAGTATGAACCCTTTTGATCTAAACTTACGTCCGTGTTATTTTAAAGCAAGTTCCAATGTATTTACCCTTAGCAGGATAACAGCACCAATTGGAACAACAGCTTAGTGCCTTGTTTGCACAGGACAATCTTAACTGTAATTTCTTTTCTGGTGTCTGCTGGGGTTTGAGCCAATGCCGGATTTTAAATCATTTCATTTTAGATTTTGTTTTAATTGAGGAGATGATAAAGCAATGCTTGTATGGATGGGAGAAAGGAAGAGGTCACGTTTGTTAAAAATCCAGTAAGAAATAAATCTCCTGCTCACACTCACATGACATACTAAGTTACATAGCATTTGTCGCACAGAAACAAAGTTGGTTTGGTTTGTTGGCATGGAGACAGAGTTACAAGCCTGGGTTAGGGAAGTGGAACTTTCTCCTGGATTTCCTGGTTCTAAACATTGTAGTATAATGTGATTCATATAAATCACGAGGATGTGACTAATCACGTGATTCTAATCCAGAAGACAGGAGACACCAGTCTATAATGAGCATGTGGTGAGGGAGGTCTTAGACACAATACTGGATAGCTTCACTTGATATTAGCTATGGGAAATGCAGGGTTACAGGGATAGGGTAGGGGGGTGGGTCTGGGTAGAATGCTCTTTGGAGCGTCGGTGTGGACTCAATGGGCTGAATGGCCTGCTTCCATTTGTGGGATTCTATGAACCTACCACACGCCAATGTAAATAAAGCAATGTTATAGTACATAAGGAATTCAAGAGCCATACTTAAACATAGGGATTAAGTAACCTCATGGATGGTTCATGTGCAGGCACCCAGAGTCCAAAATACTCCCAACCAATATCTCTGTCAGGCAGAAGATACAGAAGCCTGAACACACGCACAACCAGGTTCAGGAACAGCTTTTTTCCAACTGTTATCAGCCTGTTGAATGGACTCTACCTCAAATAAAGTAACCTGCAATGTAACCTGTATGCCTCTAAGTCTTTTTGATTTATACATCCTTTGCTTGCTGTGATCTGCCTGTGCTGCTCGTAAACAAAGCTTTTCACTGTATTTTGGTAAACGGGATGATAAAATCAAAATCAAATCAAAAATCAATGTGCTAGTGACAGCATTAGTTTAAGGTGTATATATAAAGCAACACCATCCAGAGAGATCAGTTGGAAGGGGCATCTGTGTTGGGAACTATTCTGAGGAAAAGCAATGGATTTTTTTTTCCTGCTGTCTCAAACAGCATTCACCCCTCAACCAACAGCCAAATTAAGCTGATGTGCTGGTCGTATATCCCTTTGCTATTTGTGACATCTTGCTGTGTGAAGATTGCTCCATTTCCTACTGTACATCAATAAAACTTCATTGACCTGAAGTTTTTTAGGACATCCTGGGGTCTGACAGGCACTATATAAATGCATGTTCTTCCTTGTGGGCTGGGTCAGCTTTAGTGCTGGATTAGGTCTGTATTGATGTTTATCTGGGATCACCCAGCTGGAATGGTCACATGGCTATGGGAGGCAATTGCTATACAATTGCTTTCATCTGTACCATACTCAACCAGAAAACAGGCCAAATTAAGTCAGGTCTTTCTTATCGTGAGTTGGCCCTGAGGTCTCACTTTGCAGTACATCCTCTGACATCAATTTGCTTTCAATCATTTCACGGTACAATCAAGTAAACTCGTTGGTGCAACGCAGAAGGGAGCCAGAAATTTTCCTGAGTGTATGGCATCAGCCAGCAAGCAGGTAAATGCAGGCAATAAATGTCTTGCTAATTATCCCCTTGGCAATAGCATGTATTATACGCCAAGGTTAATGGCTGCTCAGAGTCACTTAGTAAATGTCTTACACTATCCTGTTAACATCATGTACAGGATATTGCAGTCTGGGCTCTGACCACAATGAGTGGTGGGAAAATGCTGCAAAATGCTTGTGCTGTGTTAATCTACATTAACAATAAAAGACACTGAAGACTTCAGCGCCTAAGGGCTCCATAATCGTCTTTGTTAAACGTAACGTGGTTCACACATGATCACACAGGGAATTTGCAAGATTGAGGAATCAAAGGCTTTGGGGCTCAGGGAGATGCAATCATGGTTTCTTGCTCGAAAATAAGCTTCAGAAAAAAAAACCGAATACCTTTCCCCAGTTGAGGTTCTCCATTAGGAAGAAAAGTACTGTTTGTAGAGGGGATGTCAGGTTAGCCCCGCAGTAGTACCTGAATATTCCTATGAGTGGTTTCAAGCAGGTTGAAGGGTGCAGCTGCTTTTGATAACAGTCAATTTAGTTCTGTACTCGTTAGAAAGCAATCTGGCAACAGACAGCATGGAATCTTCTTTACTGTAAATAATTTGGGGAAAACTCATGCAGGAAGAATAAATAGGGCACAAATAGTGACCATCTGTAAACTACCATTACAGAGCCGGCTTTTATAAACAGAGATTTGTCGATACACATAGAATTTATCCCAACTGACCTATATCATACTAATAAAGTTCTAAAATAAAAGCAGAAAGCACTGGAGAAACTCTGGCTGCATCTGCAAAGAAAATAACAGAATTAATATTTGTCTCCTTTCCTCTCTGCACAGATACTGCCAGAGTTTCTCCTGCATTTCCTGACCTCTATCCTTGTTTATACTCTGCACACCTCCTTTACTTTATGTATCTCTATCAACATATCCCTTTCACCTTCAAGCATCTACTCCTTAAATTCACCTTCGCTACTCAATGTGGTAGCAAGTTCCATGTTTTAACCACTCCCTGGATAAAGAGGTTTCTACTGAATTCCTTGGTGAATTTATCAGTGACTATCTAATGTTTAGTAGCTCCAACATGTACATGCTGCAGGCAAATTTAAACACTTCCTCTACATCTGCCCCATCAAACCTCGTAATAATTTTAAAGATCGTGATCAGACCACCTTTCAATCTTCTCTTCTCTTGGGAGAAGAGGTATTGTCTTTTCAGACTTGCCTGATATTTATAAGTCTTGGCATTCCTTGTGTAAATCCTTTCTGCCCATTCTCCGTTCTGTGTTCATTTAGTGAATAGTTCTGGCTTCTGCTGTATTAAAACACATAATTATAAATAAATTGTGAATGAATTTCAGCAGAATAAACATTGACTTAATCCAGTAGTCACGGCTGATATTTCCCCAGGGATGCCCTCTGTTTCTCCAGCCAGAGAATTCACTGCAGAAAACTCACATGGCTTTGTCTTTGAATTCCCATAAAAGATTGACAGCAAATAACTTATTCACAGATAGTTGGCACACAGACAAAACAAAGGCTATATGTTGATCCAGTTTTGTTTTCATAAGATTAGATGGTACCCCCTCCATTCCTGCTTGCTGTTTCATGGATTTCTGTTATAAAGCAGCCTGCCCACGCGAACCCACAATTACAACACTATGATAATTTGAACAAGCTTGGCTGATTCTTAATTATTTATTTACATACAGTGGGAGGGTAACCAATTTTAGATCCCCCCCATCCCAGTATAATGGAAGTTTGCTCACACAGTACATGCTGAGCCACTGAAAACTTTTCTGTACGGGAGCTTGTAATTTCTAGCCTATTATCTGTTTCTCTCTCCACAGACACTGCCAGATCTGCTCAGTTTCTCTAGCCCTTTCTGTAGAAAAAGCTACAATTGGATTCTGAAAAGTGTAAACATTTCAATAAGGGACCAGCTGTCAACATATACTCTGGTACTTAAACAGAAGAAAATCATTGATAGTCCAGCAATTATACTGATCTTACAATTTGTTGCTGCTTGCGTTCAACATGTCTCCTCTGGGGACACTGCACATGCATTTTCAGTCTACACACACTCTCATCAGTTTTTTTCCACAGAAGCCAAATATAAAGCAGCAATTCCAAAATTCTTTCAGTGAAAGAAAATAAAAGTTCACATTTCTATAACACCCCTTTCAGTGTAATGAGAAAATGCTTACAAGACATTAAGAGAGGAATAGATGTGTTGTATCAGAGATTCTAGCCAGTATTCAGTCTTTCGAATGTAAATAAAGAGTTTACAGGACTTTTTTCTGCACCCTTTCTAGTTTCACAACATCCTTCCTATAGCAGGGAGACCAGAATGGCAGGCAATACTCCAAAAGTGTCTGAACCAATGTTCTGTACAGCTGCAACATGACCTCCCAACTCCTATACTCAATGTACTGACCAATAAAGGTAAGCGTACAAAATCCTTTCTTCACTATCCTATCTACCTGCAACTTCACTTTCAAGGAACTATGAACCTGGACTCCAACGTCTCTTTGTTCAGCAGCACTCCCCAGGACCTTACCATTGAGTGTATAAGTCCTGCCCTGATTTGCCTTTCCAAAATGCAACTCCTCAGATTTATCTAAATTAAACTCCATCTGCCACTCCTTGGCACAATGGCCCACCTGATCAAGATCCCATTGTACTCTGAGGTAAACTTCTTCACTGTCCACTACACCTCCAATTTTAGTGTCATCTGCAAACTTACTAACCATACCTCCTATGTACAAATCAAAATCATTTATGAAAATGACAAAAAGCAGTGGACCCAGCATCGATCCTAGTGGCACACTGCTGCTCACAGGCCTCCAGTCTGAAAAGCAACCCTCCATCCTCCGTCTTCTACCTTTGAGCCAGTTCTGAATCGTCCCTGCTAAAGGAAGGATGTTGTGAAACTAGAAAGGGTTTAGAAAAAGATTTACAAGGACGTTGCCAGAACTGGAGGATTTCAGCAATAGGAAGAGGCTGAATTGGCTGGGGCTGTTTTCCCTGGAGCGTCGGATGCTGAGAGGTTTCTAAAATCATGAGGAGCATGGATAGGGTAAATAGGCAAGGTCTTTTCCCTTGGGTGGGGGAGTCCAAAAGTAAAGGTCATGGGTTTAAAGTGAGAGTGGGAAGATTTAGAAAGGACCTAAGGGGCAACTTTTTCACACAGAGGATGGTGTATATATGAAATGGGCTGCTAGAGGAAGTGGTGGAGGTTGGTATGATTACAACATATAAAAGCATGGGTGTGTGAACAGGAAGATCTTAAAGGGATATGGGCCAAATGCTGGCAAATGGGACTAGATTAATTTAGGATGTTTGGTCGGCATGTTCGAGTTGGACTGAAGGGTCTGTTTCCATGCTGTATATCTCTATGACTTATTGAGAGTCAGACAATAGTCACTCTTTGATAAGTTAAAGACAGAGATGCAGCAGACTCTGAGTAGAGACAGTCTAGCTAAGTAGAGTGTCCTTGAGTGCAGTCCAGCCACTCAATGCCCAGACTCATGTTAGGCAGAATCCATTAGGATTCTATAACACAGGATAGAGTCCATTGGAGCTGCATAGTCAAAGGAGACAGGAAGCAGATCACAAACATCCTTCAACAACATCAGGACATCTCAAAATGCCAGTTCAGCACATTTGAAATGTGACACAAAAATAGAAATTGCTGCAGAAACTCAGCAAGTCTGGCAGTATCAGTGGAGAGAAAGAAGAGTAAACATTTCAGAAGCAGTGACTCTTCATCAGAATGATAAGTTAAAATTAATTAATTAGTTATTAATCATTAATAAAATTAGCTAAATTAAAATAAATTAAAAATGACGTTCTAATGAAAAGTCACTGGACCTGAAAAATTAACTCTGTTTCTCTCTCTATAGATGCTGCCAGACCTGTTGAGTTTCTCCAGCACTTTCTGTTTTTGTTTCTGATTTCCAACATCTCCCATTCTTGGTTTTATATTATTATTACATTTGAAATGCATTTACTGTTGTAAAGTGGTGAGCAAGCACAAAGCTAAATTGAATGCATATTTGTTTTTCTGTCTGCACTTCACTTTAATAAATTGAACTAAATTAAAATTATCTCCTTCTCTCCTGCAGGTATTTCCTCTGGAACCTTCTGGCTCTCTCCTACACCCTGGACTTTTGGAATGAAGCCTACACATGGCCTTTCCTTGTTTACATGCTGTCAAGTTGCATCTACCCATTTACCTCGAGTTGCGCCCATACATTTAGCTCGATGTCCACCCGAGCCAGACACATTTGCTTCTTCTTTGACTATGGTGCTCTCAGCCTGTACAGTCTAGGTACAACTGACTCCATTGATTCTAACTGAATGTATAACCAACTTGTGATCATGGGAAGCTGATATCTTCACAGCTTCTCCAATGGTGCCTGTGTTAACTGTGGTGGAAATTTGGCAGCAAGCTGGCCTAACTGCCCACAAACAGGGTCTGCCACTAACAAGACACTCCGAGGAAATTCATCCTCAGTTGCGCTGTTGAAAGAAGTGTGATGGTTTCTGTGTTGTTCTTTCCCCATAGGCTCTGCCACTGTGTATGCAGCCTACATCATGCCAGACAGATGGATCAACACCCCCTTCCACAAGTGGTTTGTAACCATCGCTGTCTTCAACACCATCATTTGCACGGTGCTGTCGTGTTACTCCAGGTAAGACTGGTTACCAGAGCATCACACTTTGTTTGGACTTGTTATGGTGCAAGTTGAAGGAGCCATTTCAATGCTTTTTTTTGTCTTTAGACTAGCCTCACACTGCTTACTGATATGACACAAACATAATTAGATACAAGAGCTTTCAGCCAATTGCCTGAATCAAAATGGCCAGATCATATCATGATACCTACTGGTAAAATCTCACCCAATTAGGTTGTGATCCTGTCCTTGCAGTGACCCTGTTTCATGCAGTGATCCTAACAATTCTGACCCCCAATTGCTCTGGAGCCCAACTGAAACTGTGACCTTGATTATACTTCTCCTAATTAGAGGTCAGCCCTCTATTTAGACCGTGACCATAATTGCTTGATGCTTAGTTTCCCTGGTTTCACTTTGACCCCCAATTTCACTATGGCCCTAATTGGATGAGATGGATTGCCGCTGGAGTTCTCCCAGTTTCCTGCCATCATCCTGATGGAATTCTTGGAAATTGCCAACAGCAGGATTTTGAGAGAATCCCTGCTGACATTCAAGGTGATAAGGACTCTAAAGACCCTGTGCTTGTTGGACTTTATCTCATTTGATCTCCATTTGTTCAAACTATGTGACCTGTCAGATTTGCTTTGGTAGGGATTCCATACAGGGTCACCCTGATTGCCTGACTTAACTTCACTGGGCAGTTGTCCATCTCTCTGAGGTTTATGACAATCTTACCCTGATCTTACATCAAGTAATGGGCACAGCCTCCATCGAAATTCTACCCTCCAGAGTCTATTGGCCTGAGAGTCAGTCTCTCAGTCTATAGGTCTAACACACAAACCTTTCTTACCATTTCAATCTTCCTACTCCTAATTCCCATCATTTCTCCTCAATACGTTCACTCTCAATGTAAATATGCATTTTCTATGTAAACATTTCAGATCATTTTGCATTGATGGCTCTCTGGGAATGCATCTCATTGTGAAATAATTTCTCCTGAACTTGTGAAAAGAGAAGGCTGAAGGGTGACCTTCTACACATCTTTAATATTATGGAATGTTTTGGTAGAGTGGCTTCAAAGAGATCGTTTCCTCTTGGGAAGATTGTAACTAATGGTCATTGATATGAGAGAGCTATCAAGAAACCCTATAGGGAATTCAGGAGGCTACCAAACAAGTGGTAGTGTCTCCTTATTCTCATGTGGAACCCACTACCACAGGGAATAATTGAAGTGAATACTACAGGTGCATTTAAGGGGAACATGCATTTGGGGGCAGGAGGGAAAAGTTGATTATGATGCTACATTTAAGAAAGCAAAATCAGAAGGAGGTTCAAGTGGAACATTAAGCCAACATGGACTGGTTGGGCTGAATGATCTATTTTTGTGCTGCCTGGTCTCTTCCATTTAACCTCTCTCTGTTTCTCTCACCCTCTCTCTTTCTGTCTCTTTTGCTGTCTATGTTGTGATTGTTCTTGTGAAGCGATATTATTTTCGGTGTAGTCTATGTCAAGGTTTTGCAGCACAGGTGGAAACAGCAAAATGAACATAAAACTTGGCCATGTGCATATGCAAAGAGGTACCCTATGTGTCTAGCCTGTTTTATTTTGGATCTGTTACTTCATATCACTCCCTGATTATTCAATCTTATGCCTGAGTTCAACATTGTACAGAGTTTACAGAACAGAAACAAGCCATTCGGTCCGTGTAACTTATACTCACGTTTGCCCTCCACACAAGCCACCTCCTGCTTCAACTAACCCCCTCTTACTTCCCCTAACTGAATCAGATTCACTTCTGTTTCTTTCTCCCACATGGTCTGAGTTCTCTATTAAATGCATCAGATAAGATGATTGCTGTCTAGTAATTACATTATTATAATCTTCTCACATGCACAACATGTACAGCTCAGCCTCTGCAGCAAAGCCATGACTGTGATTTCTTTCTGTAATTTCAAAATTCTGTTTGCAACATATTGTGAAAGGAAGGAAAATCAGCCAGATGGCTGGGCTGTGGTTGATTACGAGACAGTAATGCAGTCCCTGGCTTCAGTTAAATTCCACAAACTTTTTCATTTTGTGGTTGATGGTGTAATTAGAAGGCCAGGACTAAATTCCTCTTTATTTGCTCATACCTTCCAAATATGCAGACAGTTTCTTTTTCTCTTGCTCTCTCTCTCTCTCCCCTCTGCTATCTATTTATCTTACTCTCCCTCTATTTTTCTCTCATGCTGTCTGTATATCTCGCACTCTCTCTATATCTCTCTTTCACTATCTCATGCTCTCTCTATATCTCTCTCATTATCTCATGCTCTCTCTATATCTGTCTCACTCTCTCACTCTCTCGATATCTCTCTCACTATTTCACACTCTCTTTATCTCACTCTCTCTCTTGCTGTCTATGTCGTGGTTGTTCTTGAAGCAATGTTATTTTCAGTGCAATCAGACAAGGTTCTGCAGCATGGGTGGAAACAGCAAAGGGAACATACAACATGGTCGTGTGCATATGCAAAGAGGCTCCCCCATGGGTGTCTGTAGTGTCAGAACAACAGCCTAGGTACCAGTCACTAAGGGGATTGTAAGGGTGTCCTGTATGGCCAGGCTGTTTGGTAATATTTCTGCAAAGCATTTTGCAATATTATAAAAATGCATGTTGTTGTCTTTATTAATAGAGAATTTACTTTATATTTTCCTAATCAACCTGTCCAGAGGTGTGATGAAACACCTCTGGAACAGGTGGGACATGCACTCAGGTATCCTGGCTCAGGGGTAGGGACACTACCACTGTACCACAAGAGCCCCACACATTTACTATGTAAGAATACATTAAAAGCCGAGATAGCCTCGTTGGTTACGATGGTAAATCCACTCAAATAATTTTCATGATTCATTGCTCAATCTACTCCCTCACGATGTGGTGTAGGTCAGAGGAGAGAGCTTAAACAGGAGCCAGGCCCAAAACTGCAATCTGCCTTAACAAGATCCCAATAACAATGTGAACCAAAAACTAAACCCAACCCAAAAGCAGACAGTCCACAAATATGATCCCTACCCAAACACAAACCACATACAAACATGAGCCCCTTACACAACCATGAACTGCATCCAAACACAAAGATCACCCAACCTTAAACAGCAACAAAATATGACCATTACTGCAAAACCCCGAAACATGAAACACGCCAAAACTTCAACACTAGCCAAATATGAATGTACCTGAGGAAGAGACTGAACCAAAAAGAACACCCATAGAGATGAATCCTATCCAAAAGATAAGCCACACCAAAGATAAACCGTACCTAAAAAAGTACTGTACCAAAGATGAGCTGTACCAAACTTGAAATCTGTGAACCTTGTCCAAAGACAGACTTACAAAAGTTAAACACTATCGCACATAAACCCTAATGAAACTTAAATTGCACCAACAATTTCAGCAGAGTAACAGTGGATGTTTTGTATTTGTTTCGAGCTTAAGTTGTATCACTCTTTGCGAAAAGGTTACTTCCCTTCAATTATTAGCCACCACAGCTTTATTTACTTATTAAATTTTTAATTGCATTGGAATTAGAGTTAATCTGAGTCATTAAAAATGTGCCAACAGTTTTGTGATCCTGATCTCTGCATTTCAATGGCCCCAGTTGTCAGCTTTTGTTGCTGATGTGCTGTCTGAACCGACGCATTGTCATCACCATAATCATATTCACATCTTTATCTGTCCCTACCCTCCCAGTCACACTGCTGTGAGCAGCAGTTTCAGAATTATTACCATCATTTGTTTTTGCTTTTTGTAATTAGCTGAAATGTATTATGTCAGGAGACGTTTTTTCCCAAAGAAGGAAGAATTTCAGCTGGGATTTCCACTCTTCTGATTGTCCAGTGATCCAGGATGAAAATCACAGTCTGGATGTTTGATTAATGTAAGACATGATGGTCTGTGAGGTTGAGTGGTCCTACAACAACCTCAGAGATAAACAGAGAGGATGGAGAAGGACTAGAGACATTTAATACCACACTATCACTTAAACTTCCCCCACAGAGAACCCATCAGAGCTTCAACTTCAAATGTCATTTGAAAGGAAACAGTAAAAGCAAATATTGTTGACTTGCTTGGGGGATAACTGATCCCTGGTACATCCTCTTATTTTCCTAAGTTATACTATGTTATGTAGTGTGACTTTTTTCTTTATTCTCTCTATTTTTTGTATCTAAGATTTGTACCTCGGTACTTTGTACCAAAGATGGTGCCATCTGTTGGTGACATTGTACTCTTTTCACTGAACATTCCTGTTCTTTTGTAACTTGAGTATGCATGACAATAAACCTAATTCTAATTCTCCATGGCAAGACTTTGACCAATCAGTATCCTCTTTCTCGTGCATTTTAATTGTTGTTCCCTATGAAATTTGGCATTCTTGCATCAGTCCTGACGAGTACAAGGTGAAAAGTTTGATACTTCCAAGTGACTGTTTGAAAAAATAATTGATTTCTTTTCCGTGATTAATATCTTTCTTCTGGTTATTATGTCCATTAGGTGCAAAGGCATCTCTTTTTAAATGTCAGGAAGTAGTATTCCATAGGAAAAGACAGTGTACATACAGATAAAACACTTCCACTGGTTGGTGATTCTGGAACTAGGGGGCATCGTTTAAAAATAAGGGCCAGACCATTCAGGAAAGGTGTTAGGCAGCACATCTACACACAAAGGGTGATAGAGATTTGGAACTCTCTTCCACAAACAGCATTGGATGCTGGATCAGTTGTTAATTTTAAATCTGAGATTACATAGATTTTTCTTAAGCAAAAGTGTTGAGGGATATGGGCCAAAAACAGGTATATAAAGTAAGACAACAGATCAACCATTGAATGGTGGAGCAGGCTCAATGGGCTGAATGGCCTTCTTCTGTTCCTACAATCCTTTACTAAAACACAGAAATGCCATTTGGCCCATCTGCTCTATGCCATTGTTTATGCTGTACACAAGCCTACTTCTCAGCTTACTTCATCTTACTTATCCATCGATTCTCATTTCCACATGTTTATCTAAATTCCCCTAACATACAGCAATATGATTCACTTCAGTCACTCAACATGGTAACAAGGTCCACAGTCTAACCACTCCTTTTCAAAGAGTTAAGGTGGCACAGTGGCTCAGTGGTTAGCACTGCTGCCTCAGTGTCAGGGACCTGGGTTCGATTCCACCCTCAGGTGACTGTCTGTGCAGAGTTTGCACATTCTCCCCGTGTCTGCGTGGGTTTCCTCCAGGCGCTCCGGTCTCCTCCCACAGTCCAAAGATGTACTGGTGAGGTGGATTGGCCATGCTAAAGTGCCCTGTAGTATCCAGGATGTGCAGGCTAGGTGGGTTAGCCACGGTAATTATGGGAATAGGGTGGGGGTCTGGGTGGGATGCTCTTTGGAGGGTCAGTGCAGACTTGATTCGCTGAATGGCATCTTCCACACTACAGGAATTCTCATTAGCAGGAAATTGCACCATCTCCTGGCTGGTTATGGAACTGTTATTCCTTCAGGGTTGCAGGGGAGTGTCAGAATTAGTTTTGTATGTTTAAAATTAACTTAAAAACACAAGCTAATGGAAATACACAGTTTCCCCTTCAATATCTGGTAAGAGAAAGAGAAGGTTAATATTTTGGCTCCACAGTAATTGTCTTTCATTGCAGTTACAGATGCTGACAGTCATCATTCACCATCTTCTATTTTCATGATAGGTTGCATTTTTTGGTACAAATCTTTAAAGTGGAGTTGTTATTTCTGAGTGCTTGAGTGTACCTCACACTCAGCTATAGTTCTTTTTTTAAAAATACACTTCAAATTCAAAGATAAATTCACATTAGAGGGAAGATCTTATTTCCATTATTAAGCTGCATTGATACCACGATGTGACTGCACTAAAAGCTGAAGGGAAAAGAATCACTTTTTCTCAGGCTGCAACTTTCTCTTGAAGTGGCATGTGATGCTTCAGATTTGTGAATTCTATTTTGTCATGGTTTACCGCAGCTGCACGTTGTTTGTGATTGTGTTCAGAAGGGCCAGTGGGGTTTTTCACACTGGGATATGTATCTGCTGTCTGAGCACCATGTGCAAGTGACAGGCTGTACTGTTTAAAAATGACTGAAAATGAATCATAAAGAGTTGATATTGCACTTACACATCTACTTTTTCATTCTTGGGATACTGTGTCCCAAAGTATTTCACAGAAAGATGCAATACTTTTTCAATTGTAGTCATTACTGTAATGTCAGCAACGTGGCAGGAAATTTGCACACAGCAGAATCCCAGAAGTGTCAGTGAGATACTGATCTGGATATCTGCTTTGGATGTCAATTAGGCGTTAAATTCTGCTGAGGGCACTACGGATAACTCCACAATTTATAGAATTCGCTTCATGGAATCTTTGCATGCACCTGAGGGGATAGACAGTGCTTAGGAACACAGGAACATAGGAAGAGAAGAAGGCCTTTCAGCCCCTTAAACCTGTTCCACCATTCAATGAGAATGGCTGATCTGTGACCTAACTTCATATACCTGCCTTTGGCTCATATCCCTTAATATCTTTGCAGAACAAAAGACTTTAAAATTAACAACTGGTCCTACATCCCTTGCCATTTGTGGAAGAGAGTTCAATGTGTGTAAAATTGCTTCCTAACATCTCTCCCGAATGGTCTGATTCTAATTCTCAGACGACGGCCACTAGTTCTGGAATCCCCAACCAGCGGAAATAGTTTATCTATCCTGTCTACTCCTTCAATGGTGCAGCATTGAAATTAAATTGTGGGTTACATGCCTGTGTGGGGTTTGAACTAGCAATTTCGCACAGAGTTTCCTATGCTACCCACTGAACCACAGCTGGTATATTAGTGACATCCTGTAAGACGAACAAATGACAAAAAGGTTTGCCAAACACTACTTTGCTGAGATAACAAGGTGTGGAGCTGGATGAACACAGCAGGCCAAGCAGCATCAGAGGAGCAGGAACGTTGACATTTCGGGCCTAGACCCTTCTGCAGAAATGGGGGAGGGGAAGGGGGTTCTGAAATAAATGGTTTGGATGACGATGCAGGCTCTTTCTTTTTACTCCACCCCCAGTGCAATGCTGTAAGACATTTGTGTAAAATACTGCTCTCTCTAATTTCTTGGTTACTAATCCCAAACCTGCCATTTCCTTCCTTTCATATCGCTGCTCCGGTAACTCCTGTGCAGGCTTGGCATCCCTTTCATCAATTATAACCACAACATCGTGGAGAGGTAAATGACAACGAGAAGACAACAGGATTTGAAGAATGATAAGCATGCTTCTTGTGTGGATGTTTAACATGCCTTCTCCTTGTGCTATTTTAATGCTATGTTAAACAGGTTATAACCTGCATTAAAATAATGCAGAATTGTGTAGAATGAATATATGATACTTTCATGTTGGAACAGCAACAATTAGTTTTATTTTGTACCTTATTCTCCTTGGTTATGGCAGCTTCAGTATTTTACTTTGTTCCTACATTCACTGCTTGCAGGCCAAGCTAATTTTACTCCCCTTTCTATTGACTGGAGGAGCCCCACAATTATAGTGACGGCATGCAACGAAATATCCTGGGAGGGTATCCCTGTGATTTCCAACCTCACCTCTGGACTTTCTCCCAAGACACACTCGCCATGTTGTGAGCTTCCAAGCCCCATTCTGACTTCTTGAGGCCATAGAGACTCAGAAACGCGGCTGCGTGACCTCCCCTCAGACAGAAACCGCGTCCTTTGACCCTGTTGTCTCTGTGTAAGGCAGAACGTGCCAAAACCTTGCCTCACTATGACCCTGTCTCAATTGTCAGTGACCCTTCAGTGAGAGCAAGTGGCGAGGTCGAGAGGTCCCAACGAGATTCGGTGAAAGGGTGAGCTCTGATCGCACCACCCCCAACCCCCAAGTCTCACACCCACCACCCCACCCACCCCTCCCTCACTCCCCGTACTGTGGGATGTGGGAAGCCCCGGTGTAAGGAAAGAAAAATTAGAAGCTTCTACCAGACATCAAGTGAGAACCAAATTAACTGTTTCCTCCGTTGTTGTATAACCCTCAGGTGCCCCCATTGACTAGACCCACATGCTCAAGAGTGGAACTACTGAGGAGTAAAGTATAGAAGGTAGTGAATGGTCTGCACTTAAAGCCTCTTTCCGAGCTTAAACAATGCTTAACGTCATCCAAGTTGCTAAGGGCACAGTTGAGATTGGAGTCTGCAGATGGAGAATTCCAAGCTATCCAGAGGCCTATAATTCAGTCATAAGTCCACACCATCTGGGGAGTTTTCTGGAATGGCAAAAGTGGGAGGAAATAATAATTTCTCACTAGTTCCCATTTGCTTCACTCTGCCCGGTCTGCTATCTTGTGGGTAAATTGAGACACCCATTTTGAGATATCATTGCTTGGCACCTTGTGTGAGTGTACGTGTTCATGGCCTCGATAAAATTGCCTTGTCATGTTTGCTTTGCATGGGTTTGGCTACTTTTCTTTGGGAACCAAGCCAATCCTGAATTGCATGAAGGTGAAGTACTCTTAAGTTGCTGCATGTGTTGGTTTAAGCTGATTGCTACTTAAACCCTCTGCCCTGGTTCTGTGTATTTTGAATTTCAGTATTTTGTTTCTTTACTGTGGTGTGGCGCTGAGTCATGCTGACCAAAGACAACAGTCCTAGTTTCGAAATCAGTCTGTGCTTTGTTGATCAAAGGGTTATGCAGCGGGGGGGAGGGGACAAGGGAAGGGGAAGAGGGGTTGCTGGAATAGACGATATGGGGAATTACGATCCCAGCCAACATCCTGCTTTCCTGGTGGATGGTGAGAGGAGACAGAACAGGACTTGGCTTGTATGTTCTGCCTCATGTGGTATTCACCACCCCAGTAGGCATGCAAAAAGTGGCTGTTTGGATGGGATGAGGATGTGAGGGTCTTGTCTACCCCCTCCCACTCCAACTTAGATCCCTGTGGTTGCTGCAATAAGCAAATAGAATGCACAGTGGAATTGAACCTGGGATCAGGTTGCATTGAACTGGTGGAAATAAATTTGAAATGCAGCCATTTCCACATTTGATGATAGCTGAAATGATTCGGGGCAGGGGAAGTTAGTCAAGTTAAAAAAAAAGTGTGGAAGAGTACTTCATGTACCTCACGATTGCTCTTGTTTCAGATCTCCAGAACTGGATCATCCCAACCTGAGTAAAGTGGTGCGGATTATGGCCTTTGCTTACCCATATCTCTTTGATAACACTCCACTGTTTTACAGGGTAGGTTTGTGAAGAAGCAGCATTGATACAATGTCCAAAAATGTGTTTTGTAGTGAGTTGGCCTCAGTGTTTATATGCCTGTGATCTCCTGTCCAATCAATGGCCCTCGCTGTGGATTGGGTTTGAAAACGGAAAATAGCAACAGGACTAGGCCATTCGGCCCTTCGAGCCTGCTCCACCATTCATTCAGGTCATGGCTGATCCTCTGCCTCAAGCCTATATTCCCACTTTGAAACGATTCCACAGAGGCTGGTATTCCGTCACAAAGTTACCCTTTATTTACACATGCACAGTACATGGACTCTGACCCAGCTATTTCAGTGCCAGTCCCTAGAGTGAGGAGATTCCTGTTTATATCTGCCAGCCAGGGCTCCCTGATTGGGCCTGTTAGCCTGGGCCAATCAGCGAACTCATACTCAACAAGATCCACCTGGCTAACCTTGTTCCAATCACCACACACTTTCTCTCCATACCCCTTTATGCCTTCAATATCATAAAGATTTATCATTCTCTTTCTCGAATAAGCTCAGTGACCCAACCTCCAAAGCCCTCTATGGTTGCAAATTCCTCAGGTTGGCCACCCTCTGAGTGAAGAAATGTTTCCTTATCGCAGTCCTAAATGGCCTACTCTGTATCTTGAGACTGTCCAACCAGAGAAAACCTCCTCCCTGTATCTAGTCTGTCCAGCCCTGTTAGAATTTTATATGTTGCAATGAGATCCCGTCTCAGTGAAGGCAAGGGTGAGGTGATGGCCTCAGATAGAAATTATTTTATTGTTTGGCTTACCAGTTAATGCAAGAAGTCACTGACCAATAAGAGGTGAATCAGCCCAGTCTGTGTCATGTTGGTTAACCCCAGGCAGGGTGGTAGTGGGGTACTGAAGATAATCTCCCTGTCTCTGATTTATGGCAAGGTCAGCTGGAGGTCCTGCCTTGGATAATTATCCAGCATCTCCTGTTGGAAAGCAAGGCTTGCTGTGAAGGCCACTGCAGAGGAATAGCTGGCTAATATTTGAGCTGTGAAACTTGCAGGCTCTGGAATCTGAGTGAGTGTCAGCACAGAAAGAAGCGATTTATCTTTGTCATAATCTGGAGTAAGCTTTTAAGGAGTCCCAGTTTTGAACTTTTTTTGATTCTTCCAATGGGATGTAGGCATCAAAGGTAGGGCCAGGTCTGGTTGAGTTGACCTTTTAGGCTATGGTGAGCCATCACCTTTTAAACTGCTGCAGTCCATCTGGTGCATAGTAACACAAGCAATTGGGGCAAGAGCAGATCGTTCAGCCCATCAATGCTACCACTCAATACAATCATAGCTCATCTTAAGTTTCAATTCCACTTTCCTGCTGGCTCCCTTGATTCCCTGACAGCCCGAAATCTGTCTATCCCAGCTTTAAATATAGTCAACAAGAGAATATCTACCACCCTTTGAGTTAGAGAATTCCAAAGACTCTCAACCCTTTGAGTGAAGAATTCTGGTCACCCTGCTAAAAGAACGACGCTGTTAAACTTGAGATGGTGCAGAAAGGATTGACCAGGATGTTGCCAGGATTGGAGGATTTGAGCTATAGGGAGAGGCTGAATAAGTTGAGGTATTTTCCCAAGAGCATCAGAGGCTGTGGGGTGACCTTATAGAGGCTTATAAAATCATGAGGGGCTAGATAGGGTGAATAGACAAGGTCTTTTTCCTAAGGTAGGGGAGTCTAAAACTATACAGCATAGGTTTAAGGTGAGAGGGGAAGGATTTCAAAAGGACCTGAGGGGTAACTTTTTCATGCAGAGGGTGGTACGCGTATGGAATGAAATGCCAGTGGAAGTGGTAGAGGCTGGTACAATTACAATATTTAAAAGGCATCTGGATGGGTATATGATAGGAAGGGTTTAGAGGGATATGGGCCAAATGCCAGCAACTGGGACTAGGTCAGTTTGGGATGCCTGGTCAGCATGGATGAGTTGGACCGAAAGGTCTGTTTCCATGCTGTATGACTCTGATTCTATGAGAAAATTTCTAGTCATCACAGACTTAAGTGACTGTCCCTTATCCAAAGACCCCCATGGAACAGCAGAAAATCTCAGGATCCACCAGCAGCCCTTTTCGAATCTTATCGGAGATGATAGCTCATCTTTCTAAACTCCCGAGAATGTAGAGTCATTGAAGTCCACATTTTAGAAACAGGCCCTTCAGCCCATCAATTCTGTGCCATTCAGAAACAAGTACCTCACTATGCTAATATCGAACCAGTTTACTTGTCGTCTCAGCAGAGAACAGTGCTGTTAGGAAGAAAGATCTGAAGAAATGAAGCACACATAGGGTGTAAACTTTGCCTCCCCCCCTCTTCCCTCCCAGTTTATGAAGAATTTTGAGTGGGAGCCTTCAAGGACTTGCATTCACAAGGTGTTTTTATGTGAGGTGGGCACCTGGTGCGCTTGAAAGCTTCCAGCTTCCACTGTAGCAGCAACGTATGTCTGCAGGAAATCGGGAGGGTGAAATAGTGGCCCAAAATTGCTTCCTCCCCATCCTCCCCACGTGCTAACTTTTCCACCAAAAATTGGGCTCGTTGACATCAATTTCCTCTCCCTTGTAGGTTCACGTATGAATGATGCACTGGCATTTGAGGATTGGTTTGCTCATTCAGCTGGATGGCTGGTTTCTGATGCAAATAGCATGCATTCAATTCCTACACAACCTAAAGTTACCATAAAGGACTCTCTTTCTAAATCTCAGATGAGGCATGGTCTCCCTCAGGCCAAACTAGTCGTCTCTAATGAGAGGGCAGCCCTATGGTCCTCTGCGACCATGGTAACCTCACCTTACATATATGAGGTACAGGGAGGCATAAATACTACCTGAAGTCAGTACCACTGGAGAAAAGACAACAGTATGAATATTGGAGTCGGACTGTGGTTGTTTTTTTAATCTATGACTGTAAATAGTATGTAAAGTGTTTAAATCAAACAGATTCAGTGACACTGAAGGAACAATGTATTTCCGAATCAGGCAGCTGTGTGGCTTGAAGGAGAAGTCTCAACATGGAGAAAAGCCTTTCACCCTCTCTGGTCCGTGCCACTATTTCTGCTCCTCACAAAGCTCTGCCCATCTTAATGTATCGAACATGATCAGCATTATCCCCTCTCCCTCACATACTTAGCTACATCTGTGCTATTCAGCTCAGTTCCCCTAGCTGTGTGATGATGAGTTCTCCTGGGCTACTCTGTCATAGCTTTTAATCCAGATTTTGTTTTGGGGTGATTTTCACACCAGCATTCTCAGTTGCATTATGAAAAGGAAACAGCAGCTATTTTATTAACAGCTTTGTATTGGTGCAATGCCAGTGAAACATTTCCAAAATCAGAAAACATTTTCTCCTGAAGTTGAAAATCTGAAAACTGCATGAAGACAGTTTTCAAAAGAAACACAAATTCTGGTCTGCTCACCACAGCGATTGGAGGGCCAGAAATTTATTACAATGAATTTATTCAAAATATATCCAAAACTTAGCCCAAATCTCAATTCATTCACTGATACTGCCATTCAAAATTTCAAATCT